TCCATTGTCACATTGTCTGATGCTGCCTCCCTCTCGTAAGAATCCTGGAGATTACACTGGATCCACGTGAATAATCCAGAACAATCTTCCCAGATCAAGACCCTTAACTTCATCGGTTCTGTAAAGTCTCTGTTGCCGTGTAAAGTAATACATAGTCACAGGTTCCCAGGGTTAGGGTGTGGACAGCTTTGGGGGCCATTATTCCAGATGCCATAGGGTCTGTGTGGCTAGAGAGTGCCATTATCTCAGGTCACCTCACCTCTCCCAGCCTGAGTCTCCTTGTCTCCAGAACATGGAGTATAAACTTGACCTCCAAGACCCTTCTGATACTATATAAGTGCATCTATCTTGATTTCTAAGACAGCTATATAAATGTGTTCCATAAATGCATCTGTAAGATTACCAACTACATAGGTTATAAGGTACAGAAAGGACCTAAGGAGACACCCAGATGTCAAGTCTCGTTGATAGACAACCTAAGCTGTGTTGGGTTGGGGAAGGAGGCTGAAAGATGAGGAGTTTGATATAAGTAAATACAGCTGGGATACAAGGTAAAGGGAAGAGAAAAGGTGACGTCATCCACATAAAATGGTTTAATTAACACAATCTGTAAGAATTAATAAATTTTGTAAGGGGTAAGGGAAAGAGAGTAAATATTCTCAGACTGACTGGAATCTGAGAGGAAGGGCAGGTGGCAAATCATTGTCAGGAGAGGTTGGCTCACAGGAAGGTGGGATCTTCTTAAATATGCTGATGGAACTGTTTATTTTAAGGGCCCTTATTATAAACTACTTCCTAAAGGGGTTGAGTGTGTCAAATTTTACCTATTTACAAAGTCCATTTTACAAAAATAATGCTTTTTTTTAATGTCGGGCATACTATTGGGTCATACTATAGAATTTTTTTTAAAAAACTTCTACAATTAATCAGTCGATTAAAATGTTGAAGCTTATTTTTAAAAATACATTCAGTTCCATGTTTGCTGGTAGGACTGTGGTCTTTAAAAGTTCTGAAGTCATATTTGGTGATATCAAATGAAAATGACTTGTTTGTAATATTTCTCTATAACGTGATTAAACTACAATAGCATTATTGAAGTATATTATAATTTCCATTAAACATGTTTCACAAAAGGTACAAAAGGCAGCTATCACAAGATAAATTCTTCAAACTAGATTTCTGAAAAAATTTTTATCCAATTTTCCCTTTAATATACAGCATTATACATGTCTGCTGGTATCTGTCCAACTTATTTCCCTGTACTTTTCTAGTAAGTAGTAATTACTAAAATTACTAAATTAGTATTTAACAATAATAGAGATGTACAGTTAGATTCACAGAGATACCATCACTAATTTGTTCAAAATGAAGAGCTAATGAACACTTAGAAAGTACTTTCGTTTGCAAGCTATTCGTTTAGAAATCTAGGCGACGGCTTCTTTCTTTTGGTTAGGATTTTTAAGCTAGTAAAATACAAACTTTCTTTGCTGTACACCACAACATAGTATAAGACAGCTACAAGCAGGATGCAAAAATAATTCATAAATTCATTTCAAAGACTTTGCCAGAGATTCCCTTAACTTTGCTGTTACATAGGGTTCTCACACCTGGCTTGCAATAAAGCCCAACCACCTCTGCAAGTCCACGTCCTAGTTTCCCAGGACGTGAGCCCTTGAGTTTTATTTAGATGATATGTTCTTACTACAATGTCAGCAGAAGTCACCCTTGTTGGCTGATCCTCCTGGTATCTTCTATGGCTTCCAGGTCTTTCAACTGATCACAGTGTTCCAATAACGGAAATTTGAGTTTGGCAAAGAACAGACCTCTCAGAACGGAGACAGCCAACCATTTGCCTTTAATGTTATGGCAGAGTGTAGCGTTTCTGAGATGAACAAAAAGTTAACACATCGTTGCCAAATTAGATAATGAGCAGCAAAGTCAAGATCATACATTACAAGTCCGAGTATGAAGTCCTTAACCTAGCTCTAACTTTTTTGGCACATCAAGAGTGCTGGGCTTCAAAAGTACATTCCTAGAGAGTCCATCTGCACAATTTACTGCTCTTCAAGGAGAGCCCCCCTCTACTAAAGCCAGTCTCAGAGCACAATTTGTAAGAGATGGAAAAGGAAAAATTAGTCCATACTTCGGAATAACAGTTTGTGTAAAATTCCCAGAAAAAAATTAGGTACTATAAATACTTTAGAGCAACTTAGATGAAACACTTAATAAAAACATTCCATCATAATCTAGAGCTAGTTCAAATCCATGATTAGCACAGCCTCACTGTGACAATCGTTGACTGGGAAATCCCTTCCCTGATTCAAAGCAGCTACAGTAAGAAGGGAGAGTCTGAAGCCAGACCTTAAATCTTATCTTGAATATATAAACAGCAAAGTAATGCCAAAAAGTTTTGCAAGGTGTTTCCTCAGATGAGGTACGAAAGATTCATTTAATAACGTGTCCCTTAGTCCCAAGAACTGAATGGAAATAGTATGGCATGTGATCTGTGTATTTCAGGTCTCTGAATTTTTCCCAATTTCTAAATCCTGTTGGTCCACAATATCTGTGCACACAAGCATGTTCAAAGTATGTTTCAAGTAAGTTTCAACAGTAAGAGCTAAACTCTTACAAATTAGGTTTCAGGGAAGGTGAACACTGAAGTTTTCTTCTTAAAATGCACGCTAAGGACGATGACTTCATATTGCACTACAGTATATGTACTAGCTGTCTTCAACCCTTCATCCATGTAGCACTGACCATGTGCAAAACCATCTACAAACTGCTGTGGCAAATGCAAAGTGAAATCAGATGTAGCATTGGTCTTCATTGTGTATATGATCCAGGAGAGGAGAGAAGACACAATTTTAAAACTGTTACAAAGTACGAAAATGGTTTGAAGAACTCAGTGGGGCAAATGAAGGAGACCTTAGAATGTCAAGAGAGATATATTGCCCATTCCCATAAAAATACTATCTCAAAATCCAGATGCCAAGGTAGTTAGACCCTGACTTCTGGTAGGGCTCCTAGGCTCAACTCTTTAAAAAGCCATCCTTATCCAATCAAGGAAGTAATCTAGGCAGAAAAATATTCCAAGATGGGTCTTCCACTCAAACCATCGCGTATATTATTAAGATTCTCTGAGCCACGGCATAAATATCCTCACGGGTTGATCTTTTCTCTCCCAGTTCACAGAACTTTCCATGTCTGAGAGTTGAGTTACCTGATCTGATTTTTAGCAGCAAGTAAAATGTGGTCTCTGACATAAACCTGGTCAGTTTTTTCATGACTTTTTTTTTCCAGTTGAGGCCCACCAACCCTTCCCCTATTTTACAAGTGCATGAACTTAATGCTTCTAGTGATTGCATTTCAAGTGCAAAACGAAAAATTCAACCAGTTCTTTGGAATTAATGGCACCCTTGAAACGCAAATATCATTCATGAAAATAGCTGATTCAAAAAGCGGTGGGGTATTAATGAAAGAGGCTACAACTCAACACTGATGATCTAATGTCCTAAACATTCATTTCCTCCACGAAGAAACACATCGGTCTTTTTGTCTCTTGTCAACGTTCCCCCTTCCATGATATATACATTGCTAAATTTACACACAATTCATAATGCTCATATTATACCATAGCTATAGAAAAAGCAATGCATGAAAGAGATGCCAGCAAATGGTACAGCAAGGCACGGATCTGAAAGCCTTTAATTCAGCTTGTAGGTAACAAACGAAACCCAGCAGAGTGTGGGTAGAATGTTCTTTCCTGTCACAGGACAGGGGTGGAAGGCCATCCAGGTTCTCTGCTCCCCTATTTGTTATAAGGGAAGAAGATTAGCATGAGGATGGGGGTAAGGCCAGGTCTGAGCAAGAGGACACTGGATGGAGCGCTCCTGGTTCATTCTGTCTGCAGGGTTTACTTCACAGGACACACACCTTCCTGCACGGAACGGACGTGGGCAAGGAGGCTGGGGAGGAGGGGGGGATGTCCAGGGCTGCAGCGGGGGACGGAGAGGCCCCCGGGAGGCCGGCGGCGGTGTCCTGTGGGGATGCTGATACCTCTCTGCTGAGGCCTCACTCGCCCGTTGGAAAAGGCCGGCAACAGGGAAGCACTCGATTTTGTCCCCACAAACGCGTGCAAAGGAAGCCGTGGGGTCATTCCCAAATAAATCCGTATTTTAAAAACAAAAGACAGGCTCGTGGCCATTCTCAGAGGTGACCACACTACTCCCAGGGCTGGAGAGCAGATTTGCAGAGGCCAAAGATTAGACAAAAGGCAAAGAGCTGGCGACAGACAGACCTGGAAATGATTTTTTTTTATGAGATGATGAGCGCCTAGTACTACCAATTTCTCCCCTTCTGCGGGGTGATTACTCGTGCGCCGATCAGATCACGCCGGACGTGCTGGAAAAGTCGTATGATGAAGAGGAGGAGGAGGAGACCCCAAAACTTTCCCGAACTGCGGCAAGCTGGTGGCGGGCAGCGGCCGCGGACCTCGGGGTTCCAGGATGCAGGGAGCACCCCGGGGACGGCGGTCACCCCTTCGGCCACCACAACAAAAGGGCCCAGCGCAGCCTCTGCGCCGCGGCTTCTAGGACCTGAACCCACAGAGGGGAGCGGGCGGCGGTGACCCTGGGGCCGCCCCTGTCGCCGGGGCGAAGGAGGCGAGATGGAGCCCGCGTGTCAGTGTCACCGCATAAAGGAAAGGACCTTTGGATGCATCCGAACGCGCCACCCCCAAGGAGCAAGGCCGGTGCTACCCGCACCCCCGCCGGGCCCCCCACCCCCAGCCTCTCGGGAGCATCTGCTCCGGGCCCCTCGGAGTCCCAGGGCGGCGCCGCCCCCTCCGGAGCGCGGCGCGGGGGCCGCAGGCCCGACTCCGGCGGCCGCGACACAATGCGGCCCGACAGCCTTCCCGCCGCCGCAGCCTCTGCGGCAGGCCCGGGGCGCACACAAAAGCCCGCCGGCCGGGGCCTCGCCTCCCGGCTCCGCCGCGCACCCACCTTGGGCTCCGGCGCCCGGCTCCCGCAGCGTCTTGGTCACCGCCTTCCAGACGTGGCAGCCCAGCAGGCAGAGCAGCAGCGCCGCCGACCTGCTCATCTCCGCGCCGCGGGACCCCGGGCCGGCTCGGCCTCGCCGACCACCGGGATGGAGCGGCGCGTCAGGGG